GTTCTGAGTAATGCTATTAGTTCTCACTTACATTGATGCATTTATCTTTGAGAAAAACAATTGCGTGTAAATTAAGTGGTTCTAAAGGCTGAAGGTTTTTTACCTTCATGCATTCTATGTATGAAGGTAAAAAACCTTCTATGTGCAGCATCCCCCCAGCCCCCCCTAATACTCACCTAAGCCCCCTCTGATCCAGCGATGCACACTGGATTCTTGGTTATCCCGAGACTCCATCTCCTCATTGGCTGAGACAGAAGTGGGAGCTATTGGCTCCCAATGCTGTCAATCACAGCCAGTAAGCCAATGAGAAGAGAGCGGGGGTGAGGCCAAGCCATGGCACCGTGTGTGAATGGATACACGGAGCATCGGGTGTTCCCATTTCAAGCTGTTTGCTGTGGGAGCACCCGACAGGAGGGAGGGGCCAGGAGCACTGGCGGGGGGACCCGAGAAGAGGAGGATCTGGTCTGCTCTGTGCAAATCCACTGCACATAACAGGTAAGTATAGACATGTTTGGTATTTAAAAAACAATAAGCCTTTAGAATCACTCTAAGCCAGAAAAAAACAAAACCCAGGTGAAAAAAATCATGGCATGGATCCAGTTCATGCTTCAGGAATAAAGCTTAGTGCTTTTTCATGATGAGCATGAATCTGTATTTGTTATTGGAACAATATTTGACATTGACCTCCTGTTTTTTTTTGCCCTTCCTCCATTCATTCATTTTAATTATGCTCAGGACCCTGAAGCAAGGGAAGCGTAATGCACATTTGTAAAGCACACTACATTATAAGTGTGCTGCAGTATGGCCAAGCTAAGGCCATATCATTGTTCTGTGAATGGATCCCTACAACACTGCATGGTGCTGCCAAGAACCAGTCTACATCTGAGCTCTGATGGTGGCATAACCTTTCAAAGTAAATAGATACAAAGCTACTTTTGAAAGAACTGTCCTTAAAAGAATGATTGTTACAGTACTGTAAAAGAACATAGATAAGCACTAATTAACTTAGTTATGACTGTATGGTAACTTTGAATTTTAAATTATAGCAGTGACAGTCTTAAACTTGTCCATGTATAATGCGAAGCTTCAGAAAAATAAAAAAAGAGAATCTAAAGGGAGTCCCCAGTTTCTTAAACTGGATTGGCAGAATCATCTCTAAGATCATCAATCAGTTGTTTGGTTTTAAATTCTTTAAAAAAATTGTTGCACACACTCACTTTATTTGGCACTTTCATTGGTATTATCTCTGAAGTAGAGAGATAATTAGTAGAGCTATTAATGTTTATTATACGTTGCCTTATGAGTCCTACAAATCTCTATAAATCTGATGTATAGCAAAATAAATAATGATGATAATGCTGTCAAGCATCTCTCTGGGTGTTGGATGGCTAGTGAAGTAAAGTGAGCTGAGGAAAGATCAGATAAACTGTAGAATCCCCATACCTTCCTTTCATCTAACAGTCCTTAAACAAAAAGTAAGGAGTCTTCTCAGTAAGTACATATGCTGGAAAATACTTTATCTGAAAGTAATTTTTTAAGCTGAACCGTGGGGATAAAAGCTTTCATTGACCCCTTAGTGAATGAGGGTAAAACAAATGTTGATGCCTGAACACAATTTTGCAACTTTGACATGTACAGATCATCGCAACTACTTTGGTGGATTATACATTTGTTTTTGGGCTTTCTTTGGGGGCAAATGGTAATGGATGGCTCTTGAGTTTTTTAAATATCATATTAATATTAATTAATATAAATATGGAACACTGGCTTAAAATAGTAAAAAAAAAAATAGTTTAAATTTAGCTGTAAATTTGTTACTACTACCATTACTTAACACCAAAGAACATCCCAAAATAAATTCTTCTGCTCCTGACGATTGCAGCAATACCAGATATGATTTTATAGTATTTGTTGTTTATACCCATAGTACAGCCCAGAAACAATAGTGTTCATTTTGCTTTTTTTAATCCTATCTAAAACATACTGACACTGACTGACACTGATACTAAAAAATACTATTACAAAATGCTTGTTTTTTTATTTGTATCAGTTTATCTATTTACTTGGAGCAACCTCGTCTTTTATTTTTTTAACGTGAGTAATTTGCATTTGTTTGCCCTAAAATTCACCTTAGTGTGTTTTTTTACTGAAATTTTGCATTTCCTAGACATTTGCAGTAATATTATGTGACATTAAAAACTACCACTATTTTATTCTCTAGGGTGTCTGCTTTCAGAAAATATATAATATTTGGGGGGTTTGTGTAATCTTCAGGCCTGAACATTTATTTTAAACATGTGTGCAAAAAAATGCAAAAACAGCTCTGGCAGTGAAAGGGCTAAAGTGGAAGCCAATTCTATTTATGACAATCCTTACCATTAATCAATGCACCTTACACTTTTTGATTGCTCTGCAGCCAGCATTCATGATGTAACAAACAATAAATCCTAGTCGTGATGAAGGTAATGTTTTATTTAGTAGTGGCACCACAATAAGATTGCTAGTTTGTACCCTTTGGTTTACAATTTGTACTCTTCGTTTTACTATTTTTTTTTTCTTATTTGATATTTTGCACTGAGATGTAACATAGATAATTTTTTATATATATATATATATATATATATATATATATATATATATAGTTTCATAGTGTTAACACTTTATGTATATCTTTTGGTATATGCTTTGTAATACAATTGTTACCTCTCGGAATGCTATTTAAAATGCTTTTCCAATAAAAAAGTTTGTAATAAAAAAAAAAAACACGGCTTCTTCCCCACAACCCTATCCTGGTGGTGGTGCATGTTGGGTAGGTTTGTGGGCTAGGGGCTTATCGGATTCTTTTAATAATGAGACACCCACATACTGCCTCCACATGTCACTAAATAAGGGGTATATAGTAAACAAATGCCTGAACAAGCAAACTTGTTTTGACTAAACCAGGAACAAATCCCTAATAAACAATAGATGTAATATAGAAGTGTACTGCAATATGATAAGGTAATGATAATGAAATAGTTATTAGATAAATAATAAAATGATTAGGATTATGAAAAAAAATATAATTCTATAGCTGTGTAGCTATTTTGTTGAGTATGATCAAAAAGAGTAACTCAATGTACATAGGTAATCATAATGAGATGATTACATAGTAACATAATAGGAAAAAATAATATATATAAATATAAATTTAGAAAAAAAAAAAACCTCTTTCTACAGAGGCTGATTGGCAACACAGTACCTCCCTCTGCTATGCCTATTGATTGTTTTGCACAGCAAATAATCTCATGGTTAGGGAAGGGGCTTATATTGTGTTCAGGACTCATGGCCGCTTCCAGTTTTCACAATTTGGTGAATGGGAAAAATCACTAGGGCATTCATCCACTGAAGTAAACCTCCAACTACAGCCTGGAAGTTATTCAGTTAGCGCCATCATTGCAACTGCCAGTGAATTAAAACTTCTCCATTGTGTGGCCCACAAGAATCTTTGGTTGCTAGAATGAAAGCAGCTGCCTTTTTTTTTAGCAACTGAAGAAACCTAGTGGGCTGGCCATTCACATCCTAGCATTTGATGATATCATCAATTGCTAAGACACCAGCTGCCACACAGATATGGTGCATCATGATTGAAGAAAAAAAAAATACATGGAGTTCCCCCCTGATATGCATACCAGATCTTTATCCAGGATAGTGATTAAGTATAGATTTTATGCACCCCCCCCCCCTAAAAAAAAAGACTGCATATCAGAAACCAGGTATCAAAGAGGAAATAAACTTTAGTTGCTTCATGTAGGATGCAGCTTGTTCCTTATGGACCTGTTTTTTAAAATGATTTTTTTTCAATTTCAAGATTTTTCAAGACTTTTGCAAAACAATTTTTGTATACTCTCACTTATTACATATTTATTTCTTCTTACATGTAATGGTAATTTTTACTATAGTATTTATGAATCACAAGCACAACACTACCTACATGGAGTTTGCATGTTTTTCCCTGTGCTTGGATTGGTTTCCTCCAGGTGCTTCAATTTCCTCCCACACTCCAAAAACATGTTGGTAGGTTAATTTACTCCTGTCTAAAGTGGGCCTTGTTTGTGTAAGGGTGTTAGGTGTTGGTACTATGTAAAGTGCTGCATAAAACAGTTGGCTCTATAACAAAAAAAAAAAACAACCTGTAATAAATAAATAAATAATATTTGGTTATATATATAATAAATATATATATATATATATATATGCACATTTCCATTATTGAAATATTTTTACAATTGCAACCTGTTCAAATATGGTATTATTTTGTTTAGTTGTGGACATCGTTTATGGTTGTTTGTCTATGAACATTAAAATAGAACAAAGGTGAAAAGTTTTTATCTCATTATAGGGTAATGAAGGTTATGACCTTTGTCAAGTAACCAAAACAGGAAGTGAGGGAATCCCTGATTGTCACTAGGGTCACAAGAACTAGTGTCTCCAGTGTTCTATTTTTGTTCTATTCCTGTTCTGGGGACAACCCAAAATTTGGCCTTTTCTTTCACTTTCAGTGATAGCAGCAAACAGGACAAATATAGAGGATAAATCTCCATAATGGGGGCACAGACAGCAATTAAAACCAAACAGGCGTTCTAAACCCTCTCCGTACTATCCAAAAAATGCTTTTAAATATACTTTAAAGTGTTACTAAACCCAGGACCCTGTATTCACTATACCTGGTCTGCCACTTTACTAAAATAATTGCATTTCCATGTTGTGTGTAAATATACACTGCTAAATACCTTTTCTCATCAGTAGTTAGAGAAGTCTTATGACTTCAGCAGAGCACTGGATAAAGCCTGTATTAAGAGTTTTCTCTAGGAGGATGGAAATCCCCTGATCTCTGTCTGAACAGTGCTGATTGGCCCTGTGCTGATCACATGCACTCTCCCAAGAAAAAAAAAATATCTCTAGCAATACACACCAAACTGAGCATGCGCATGTGACTACAGATTCGGTTTGTATCAGGTGGTCATTTCAACAAGAGGAGGGGCAGAGAAAAAGGATCAAATAGCCTTTTTACACATGCAGGGATTAACCCCTTAGGTTCCACAGTGAGTATAACAAGCATGCTTTACTGCATATACAGACTGATTTTGCTGTTATGGCTTTAGTAACACTTTAACATAATTCATTTTCTGCATTTTGTTCAATGTAGATTTATGTGGGCAGCACTTTTTAGGCTTGCATTCCAAATTCCTGGATTTTCAAGATCAGAATCTGGAATGGATATTGATACCTCCTGTGTATTGTTAAGTCAAAATGATAAAACAACATGGACACTCCATCACACCACCACCACCACCACACACATGCACTATCTACTGAGGCCATGCAGCTCTTAAAGTGATGGGAGCATGTACATGATGCCATTCCCCCCTGAAGAAATCTTTCTTTCAGTTGAAATGCATCATTAACCATTTTACTCCCTTCATGACCAGGCCATATCTTGCTATTTAGCATTGCACTACTTTAACTGGTAATTGCGTAGGCATGCAACACTGTACCCAAACGAAATTTATATAATTTTTTTTTTTTACACAAATAGAGCTTTATTTTTTTTTTATTGAATATGTTATATAGCAGAAAGAAAGTTTTTTTTTAAATTTTCAGTCTTTTTTCATTTGTATAATAAAAAACAAGTGTTTTTTTTTGTTTTTTATTATATAAATGTAAAAAAGACTGAAAATAAAAAAAAAACAATCTTTCTTTCTGCTATAAAAACATATCCAATAAAAACATTAAAAAATTTAATTTCTTCATAAATTTAGGTCAAAATGTATTCTGTAACATGTCTTTGGTAAAAAAAATCCCAATAAGTATAGAGTGATTTGTTTGTGTGAAAGTTATAGTGTCTATAAACTATGGTCTATATACTTGAATTTATATTTTTTTTTTATACTAGTAATGGAGGTGATCAGAAACTTACAGTGGGATGGTGATAGTGCAGTGGGCAATCTGACACTAACAGACTCTGGCTGGGAGGTACACTAACTGACCTACTGTTACTGACATCATCAGTGACAGTAATACAGTGATCAGTGATAATACTTCACACTGTCACTGTACCAATGACAATGGTTGGGAAGGGGTTCATATCTTGGGGTAATTAATTTGTTAAGTGTGTGCATGACTGAGCATTTTCCAGTCAAAATAGCGCAGTGCTAAATAGCAAAAAATGGCCTGGTCATAAAGTTTAGATAATAAAAAAATAAAAATCCCATTAGTCTTCAAATACCACCCAAAAAAAAATCTCTATTTGTATGAAAAAAAATTGTATAAATTTATTTGGGTACAGTGTTGCATGAACACGCAATTACCTGTTAAAATAGCACAGTGCTAAGGTCTGGTCATGAGGGGGTAAAACCTTCCAGTGATCAAAGTGATATTAAACCCTCAGCTGCTCAAGTAACACTTTCTAAGTATGCTTCTTTTTGAGTATTTTATACAATGCCTTTTCAGTTTTATCCAGTTGCCTCATTGTTTCTCCTTCACCTTCTGGTTTTAGGATGCCTTGTTTCTCTTGTAGGGTCCTATGGAACCATACTATTGTGCATGCTACCAGGAATAAGACTACATGCTGAGTTGAGGACATTGTCTATGCCAACACACACAGACAACCTGAGATAAAAACAAAGAGAATAAATTCCTCTACTTCTCCAGCTCTTTAGCACAGTCAGTGTCCTCACGTCAGACAAATTTCATCAATGAAGGGTTGTGCATGCATGCTAGCACAATGACTGATGGTATGAACTTTGCTATTTAAAAAAAAACTATCCTAGCTGCTTTGTTTACATGGCCATGGCCAGGGATTCCTGGTCAGTAAATGAATGGGGCTGGTGAAGTCATTGGTTGCTAAGGATGCAGAAGGTACCAGCACCCTCTGCTTCCTTAACAACCTTAACAACCTTGACGGCAGGAAAAAGAAGCCATATATAGTAGCAGGAGAAAAACCCTCTACTATACATATTGTTCAGTTTCTTCTGGACTTTCAGGCTGAAAGTCCAGTGTTTAGATGAACACTTGAACAAGTAAAGTTCACTCCAAAACAGGAACTCATTCTTACTTATCAAATTAAATAATTTTCAACATCTCTCCACCCGGTATCATCTTCACCAGCAAATGACTCAAGATTAGACACTTTAAACTAATACAGATAATAGTTGTACCATTAGCATGATAAAATTAGAGCCTAATGCCCCTTCCTAATAAGTGACACACTAGTGAATAATGTCAAATCCATAATCCTGTAAAACAGCGAAGGCCATGAAGACAAAAACACCATCCAGTGGAGAATTTTAGCAACTAGATATGAAAGAATTAACCTACATATACTTTTTGTGACAAACTCATTTATCACAGTATGTTTTTACTCTTGCTGAATGCCCTCACTACTTTCACTACTGCCCCCAACTTTATTGCAGGATGATTTTTCACTGGAACGTCATTTCAAAATCACAAAGTCATATTCACACCTACACTATTTAGTAAAAATATTAATTTGACCATTTTCAGAAGGCTTTCTGCACCCCAAAAAGTCAAGTATTTAATATTTTTTTCAAAATGTTCAGGTTGTGTGTTTGTGAGTTATATCTAAATTTCTGATAAAATACAACAATAATAGTTTGACTATCCTAATAGCAGCAGCCTAGGAATATGGTACTTTTACCTTGTATTACAAAGGATACAACAGTATTCATGTATGTGTGATATAGAGTTTGTGTCTGATTGACCAAGACAAGGGAAGAATAATAGTGTTTTTCACAGTAGCCTAATGTCTGCAGGATAGAAAGCTTCTGCCTTGCTCAATAAAGGTTTGCAATCTTTTAAAGCAGGCTTAACAGACCACTAACTGTTTGGGAGCTATGGCATACAAGTACACAGGGAGTCATTACTGAATCCCAGAATAATCATGATTGAATTCCAGTGTAGGCAGTGCTTAGTCTCCCAGATCTAGTTTGTAAGATTTTGTTAAACCTTGGTTTTTAAATCTGTATGAAAATAACTTTAAGAAAAAAATATGGGACACTGATATGTTTTCTCCAACATGAACAAAAGCAAATATGTATCCTTTAGATTGTAAGCTCCATGAGCAGGGCCCTCCTATTTCTTCTGTATTGTACTCTAATGTATTTGTATGGTCCCTTTTATATTGTATAATGCTGCGAAAACTGTTGGCACTAGATAAGTCTTGAATAATAATAATGATAATAATATATTACTAATGGTAGAAATAAAGTTCATGTTCCAAACTTAGTGAGTGATTAACTTAGACAATGCTAGATTTTTTTTTCACTGAGGTTTAATCCGTAAGGAAGGCACCACTTTACTTTGTGCAGTAAGAACAATATTCAGAAATAACTAAAATACATTCGCACAATCAATATTTCTGGTTGTTAGTCGATGGAATGTGTTCAATTGAATATTGTAGATCTGAATATGAGTGAGACATTATTTGTATTTAAATATTTAACATGTCATTGTTAATTGTTGTAAGTTCTTTCTTAGTATACAGTAGCTTAAAATGTGTGCAATAGGATGCTTTCATTTGTGCCAAAAGAGCTTTTAGAAAAAATAATATAACAATAACATGCTCATGAAATTCTCAGTCGATAGTAAAGGTAGTTTAATGTTTGTTTCTATTAGTAGTAGAAGACCTTGAGACATTAAAAGAGTAATGTTATTAATGCAGACTAACCTGTATAGTATAAAAGAATACTACCTTTTTTTCTGCTTTCCTAATTAGTTTGTATGAAGTGAATGTCTGACATTGTTTATCTAATTTGACGAGATAGTACAAGAAGAATGTATTTTTATGGTTGACTCATGCACTTGGTGGAATAGACTACTTTGTGCAAGAAAAAACTATTACTGTGAAGTCATTGATCTTTATTTTATTATTGTTTTTTTTTTCTGTCTATATTGCTAAGGAAATATTTTTTTCTCAGCAGAAAAAATATAAAGGCTGATTCCTTGACGAGAACCCTCATGATGCAAAGGGTATTGCAGAGGCACAAGGCTGAATCAGCGCAGCTCTTAGAGTTGTCCCTCTGCATTTTTTCCTAAGCCTCCCCATCTTCTAGTTCTTAACTTTGCAGCTTCCTCAGAACCACACAGCCTGCTTTCAGGATCCTCTCCATCAGGATTAAATGGGTATTGCCAAGGGCGTAGAAAAATTAGTGTAAATAAAGGTACAGTTACACTTTAACTCCAGTAAGGGTTATATTAACCTCTTCACACCAGCCGCACACAAATGTGCGGCTTCCCGGCATCTGGCTTTGACGCCTAGCGGCCGCACATTTGTGTCCAATTAAGAAGAACATATGTGCTGAGAGCACGTTCCCAGCACACATGTCCAGTACTCACGGAAAGGTCCCAATCTCCTCTTTTGATCAGGACCTTTCCCGATCATGTGACCTTCGTGATGGCGAATCACAGAAGTCACATGTCCCTAAAACCCCGCCCCGCCTCCCGGCTTCTGAAACCCTTAAAGGGCTGGGAGGCGCTGGCGCCAAGGGGTTAAAGTAATGTTAAAGTGGGTGTAAGCCCTTATATTTACTCAGTGAAGTGACTGGCCTCAAATGATACACAGAGATGAAACAAATCCTTCTACCTAAGTTGTACCTGTCGATCTGCAGTCTACTCCTATTTGCATATGTTCAAAGTGATGAATTTTTAAAACTTCTTTGACAGTTCAGAAAATAGGTGTTGGAGAGCTGAATTTACACTCTGCAGAGCTCAGTCAGGAAAGCTCTGAGAGCTGATAGGAGGGAAGGGACACCCCCACCCCCTCCCTTCACACAGCTCACAGGAACAGAGATGAGGCTGTCAATCTGCCTGAGCTCACTCCCCTGTCACTATTTTTTCTCTTGGTGTCAGAAAAATGTGTCAGAAGTGACTCATGCTGATAGCAGAGGAATGATGCAGCAGACAAAATGACACTTAGTGCTCTTAATTGAGACAAGTACACACTATAGAGGGATATGAGGTGTTCACATTTTATGTCTGAGGTTTACAATCACTTTAAATGAAACCTTTTTTTTTCTCATTGCTTCTCACTGTGGCTACTCACTCTGGCTCTGGCTGATCGTTGATTCTATGTGGCTTTGCTTCTCAGACATCACTTGAAATGCAACTTGGTTTTGTGTCACATCATAGCTGAATCTTTTATACCCCACCACTGTATTTGATGTATGGCACTCTAAAATTTTTACATGTTGATGTTGCATTCTCTTGATGTTACAATAAAGAATTTAAAAAAAAATGGCTGAAATCATATAGATGAAAAAGTAATATGAATACACAAAAATCACAATCATATTATCTTGTTCAACAAAAAGAACTCTAGCCTTTTTACTTCTAATTACACTTCCATGACTACTCTGGTCCTTGGAAATTGTAGCAGATAGATACTCTGTCATTGTCTTCAGAGGCAGTTAATGACCAGTTTAGCAGTGAAACGGTGCCTGTTCGGGTGTAGGACTCATAATGGTGACCCAAAAAAGGGATTCAGACTAGCTAAACAGGGCTCCTTACCAGGAGAGTCATGTTGCAAGGAGCAGCAGTTCTGTATAGGCACACTAGTTGTGGATCTCTTTGTGTTAAGGCCTCTCAGCCTCAAAATTCTTACCAGGCCCTTGCTTCAGAGAAACAAAGTTTGTGTCTGAATAGAGAAACGACTAAAGGTCTGAATGGTCCCAAAATAGCCAGGAGACTGAATATTGCCTGTTGTATTGATATGATGTTTTAATCCCTATTATTATTATTATTATACAGTATTTATATAGCACCAAAGGGTATGCTCAGCGCTGTACAGTAGCAAGGGGGACAGAACATGAGACAAGACAGTAACAATACACTACACGAGGGGTTCGAGGGCCCTGCTCTTTCGAGCTTACAATCTAGGAGGGAGGGGAAGGTGGTACAGGAGGAGATGGCTGTGGGGGATGGAGTGGTGGGAGGAGTGGAGGAGGTTAGTTGTTAGGTAGGTCGGGTGTTAGGTGAGGTTGGGGTAGGCTTCCCTGAAGAGGAGGGTTTTCAGGGTGCACCTGAAGGTGAGGAGGGTAGGTGACAGTCTGATGGATTGGGGTAGGGAGTTCCAGAGGATGGGGGAAGTCCTGGAGAAGTCCTGCAATCGGGCGTGGGAGGAGGAGACCAGGGAGCTAGAGAGTAGGAGGTCCTGTGAGGAGCGGAGGGCACGGGTAGGGTAGTATTTGGGTATCAGGTCAGTTATGTAGTTCGGGGCGGCATTGTGAATGGCTTTGTAGGTCAGAGTTAGCAGTTTGAATTTGATGCGTTGGGCAATCGGGAGCCAATGAAGGGATTGGCAGAGGGGGGAGGCAGATGTGGAGCAGTTGGTGAGGTGGATGAGTCTAGCCGCTGAGTTTAGGATTGACTGCAGTGGGGATTTCATTTGTTTGGGTAGGCCAGTGAGAAGGGAATTGCAATAGTCCAGACGTGAGATGATGAGGGAGTGTACGAGTTGTTTAGTAGTGTCTGGGGTGAGGAATGTGCGTATCTTGGAGATGTTGCAGAGTTGGAGCCTGCAAGATCTAGATAGCAGTTGGATGTGGGGTAGGAAGGAGAGGTGGGAGTCCAGGGTGACACCCAGGACTTTGGTGTGTGGGGTGGGAGAGATGGTGGCATTGTTAGTAGTGATGGGGGGGCACGGGGTGGGGGGAAGACCAGGAGCTCGGTTTTTGGATAGGTTAAGTTTGAGGAAATGGAGCGACATCCAGTCTATGTCGTTTAGAAGGTGGGCAATGCGGGCAGAAACCTTGTGTAAAGGTCATTGCTGATAAATAAGACCAGACAAAAGTTTGGGAGTTCCTACAGCTTGGAGGCTGCTGATCTCCACAAATAGTTTTTTAAGTGGGAAAAAAGCCCTTAAAATTCAACTCTCTGAGAGTCCTTGAAGCTCTACATTTGATGCTGAATCTTTACAGTAACTAACAGTCCTTAACACAGAGCTCCAATCAAAATCTCCAGTCTAAAAAAACTCAGCAGCTACAAGAACAGACACTCACCTGTCCCTCGAACGAGCGGTGCCCTCACCGCAGCTGGTTTCACTGGCTGTCCTCTCTCCCTGGTGCTGGCAATTTCAGTGTGGGGACCTGATAGTGATGGCTTGCAATTTCACAGCCAGGTGCGCACTGCGTATACATGAGCAGCCGTGCACCTTCTGAAGCGTCCTGTAGTCTTCTAAGACCTGTCATGTGTCCCAGAAGACTAGGTGATCAAAGTGGGAGTGGGAGTGGGTACCTGTCAAAATCAGATACCCACACCCCAAAGGTGCCAATCCTTAATGGGGAGCAGGGGGATGAGGTGGAGCTCCACTTTAAAACATATTCTGCCAAAACATCTTGGGTGCATGTGATGATGACCAGGTCACTTTAAGCCAATTAAAAAGCAAAGAGAAAAGGTGTATTAATAAGAAAAATAATAAGATGAAGTGGCCTGTAACTAGTAATAAGAAGATCCTGTCTGTAACTAGTAGTAGAGAAGGCCATAAACTGAACTGTTAAAAAGCTTAACCCCAGACAAATGGCTAATTGCACATATGAAATGGACATATTGAAGCCATTTTACCTGCCAAATGTGAATTTCTATTCATCCAGTCCTTATAATTAAACTTCTCTACCATAAAGCAAAGCCCTATTTGGTAAGGCAGTTTACCTGATTTTTCTCGGCTTGACTTTTAATCCAGAATTGTTTTCACCTCAAGCTGTGTCTACCCCATATTGACTATAACTGGGCTATATTTCCTATAACTGGTGCACTCAGAATCTGGTGCAGCTGTGCATGGTAGCAGTGTTCAGAGTTTGAAGTTTGTTTATTTCATTGGCAGAAATTTAAAGGGTAACTAAACTTTTGTGGGAAACAAATGAGCAAAAAAAGTCAGATTTTGACCCATTACACATACTTAAAGTGTTACTAAACCCAGGACCCTGCATTCACTATATCTGGTCTCCCACAGTACACACAACATGGAAGTATAAGGCTTCTATAAATGTTCAGCCGAGCACTGGTTGAAGCTTGTTGGAGGAGTTTTCATTTTGCTCTAGGAGAATGTAGAACCCATGACCTCTGTCTGGACAGTGCTGATTGGCCCCTTGCCGATCAGATGCAGTCTCCCAAAAAAAAAAAAACTCTCTAGCAATACACACCAAACTGAGCATGTGCAGAGTGGCTCCGCATGATATGTCTTATCAGGAGATAAGAGGGGGACACTGGTAGAAGGCAAGGATCAGAGAAGACAGGATCAAACAGGCTTTTTACACAATTAGAGGATTAACCCTTTAGGTTGCACAGTGAGTATAAAAAGCATGCTTTACTGCATAGACAGGATTGCATAAGGCTGATATCAAGTCAAATATAGGTACTTACACTGCTTGCATTTAAATTAGCTGTAATATTTTGTGTATTTTACCCAGAAAAGGCTAAGAGCTGGCTGGACAGTCTGAAAACATCTCCTCAATGTGCAGATTATTCAGAACTTGTGAAAGTAACGGATGTTCAAACTACCAAAATATGTAATGTTTAAATATATTTGGCATTTTAAAAAATGAAAATTAGATTTTTTTAAATAATTACATTTCTGGAATGAGTTGCACACTTCTCGTTCCTAACAGGAGTCACATTGTATAGATATAGCATTCTGTACAAAGCTCCTAGATCAAATGTGATTGTTATCCTGTTTAACCATGGCAGGCTCCTTGACAAAAACCTAGAATGCTAGTCAGTAGAATTTGTGTTATCAGTTTTCACCTGTCTTGGCTCACCCTCTTGACTTTTGTCTGAATTTCTATTACCAAAATGTCATGCAGTCTTTTGATAGATAGTAGATAGCAAAAAAGGAGTGAACTTTATAAAACAAATTAAATGCAAGGTTTAAAATGTGTATATAATATACTGCTCAAAAAATTAAAGGAACACTTTTTAATCAGAGTATAGCATCAAGTCAGTTAAACTCCTGAGATATTGATCTGGTCAGTTAAATAGCAGAGGGGGTTGTTAATTAGTTTCAGATGCTTTGGTGGTAATGAAATTAAAAACAGGTGCACTAGATGGGCAACAATGAGACAACCCCCAAAACAGGAATGGTTTTACAGGTGGAGGCCACTGACATTTTATTCCCTACTCATCTTTTTTTTACTTTTTTTCACTAGTTTTGCATTTGGCTAGGGTCAGTGTCACTACTGATAGCATGAGGCGATAACGGGACCCCCACAGAGGTTGCATAGGCAGTCCAACGTCTCCAGGATGGCACATCAATACGTGCCATTGCCAGAAGGTTTGCTGTGCCTCCCAGCACAGTCTCAAGAGCATGAAGGAGAATCCAGGAGACAGGCAGTAACTCTAGGAGAGCTGGACAGGGCCGTAGAAGGTCCTTAACCCATCAGCAGGACCAGGATCTGCTCCTTTGTCCAAGGAGGAACAGAATGAGTACTGCAAGAGGCCTACAAAATGACCTCCAGCAGGCCACTGGTGTGAATATCTCTTACCAAACAATCAGAAACAGACTTTCACGAGGGTGGCCTGAGGGCCCGACGTCCTCTAGCGGACCCTGAGCTCACTGCCCGACACTATAGAGCTCGATTGGCATTTGCCATTGAACACCAGAATTGGCTGGTCTGCCACTGGCGCCCTATGCTTTTCACAGATGAGAGCAGGTTCACCTTGAGCACATGTGACAGACGTGAAAGGGTCTGGAGAAGCCATGGAGAACGTTATGCTGCCGGTAACATTGTTCAACCATTTTGGTGGTGGGTCAGTGATGGTCTAGAGAGGCATATCCATGAAGGGACACACAGACCTCTACAGGCTAAACAATGGCACCCTGACTGCCATTAGGTATTGGGATCAAAGCCTTGGACCCATTATCAGTCCCTACGCTGGTGCAGTGGGTCCTTGGTTCCTCCTGGTGCACAGCAATGCCCAGCCTCATATGGCGAGAGTATTCAGGCAGTTCTGGGAGGATGAAGGAATTGATACTATTGAATGGCCCCCACGCTTGCCTGACCTAAATCCAATAGAACACCTCTGGGATATCATGTTTCAGTCCATCTCAGACTGTCCAGGAGCTCAGTGATGCCCTGGTCCAGATCTGGGAGGAAATACACCAAGACACCATCCATCGTCTCATTAGGAGCATGCCCCGACATTGTCAGGCATGCATACAAGCACGTGGGGGCCATACAAACTACTGAGTACCATTTTCAGTTGCTTTAATGAAATTTCAGCAAAATGGACTAGCCTGCTGCATAATTTTTTTCACTTTGATTTTCAGGGTGTCTTTGAATTCAGTCATCTGTAGGTTGATAATTTTCATTTCCATCAAACGATGGGGTATCCTTACATTACCCAGTCCATATCAGTATAGATATCCAGCATGATATTTTTCCCCATTGAGATCTGATATGTTTTCAAAGTGTTCCTTTAATTTTTTTGAGCAGTATATATATATATATATATATATATACTGTATATACAATAGCAGGCCAATAAAAATGTTTGGTTGGTTCCACACAAGGAGGTATGCCGTCTATTTTCATTCCTTTAATTAAAGTAGAAGTAAACCCACTTTGATAATTTTTACCTACAGATAAGCCTTTAATAAGGCTTACCTGTAGGTACTGTAAATATTTCCAAAATGTGCACCGTGTAGGAGATATTTACTGTAGAAGCTGTAGTGATGTCACCGGCTCATGCGCTCTGCACTCTCAATGGACGGAGAGAGAGCTTGTGCTGCGATCGAGTCATGACATTGTGGCTCAGCCAATCAGATGGCTGCAGCTTGCGATCCTGGAAGGAAGACCAGGTGAAGATGGAAGCCTCAGGGAGTTGTGACATCGCTGCAGCCTTCTGGGACATGTCTTAAGTCCCAGAAGGCTGTGGGTCCCTTTATACAGAGCAGCATGGACAGTGGGAATCCCGCTGTGAAGCCATAAGAAGTCACAGCTGGATTCCCACAGTTAGCATGGCAGTTCTAAGGACCTGAAAACCGATGAAGAACCAGAGGGTTGTATAACATGTGGTTTAAGTGTTTTGCATACATACATACAGCATATGAGTTACAATAATATATATATATATATATTCTTAGATTGTAAGATCGCTGTCCAAATCTTATAAACTTCACCTCTGCAACATTTCCAAGATACGCCCGTTCTTAACCTCGGAAACTACTAAGCAACTTATTCACTCCCTCATTGGCCATTGGCCTACCTCATCGCAGGCTATCCCCTCTCGAGTCTATCATGAATGCTGCTGCCAGACTCATCCACCTTGCTATCCATTCTGTATCTGCCACCCCTATCTGCTAATCCCTCCACTAGCTTCCCATTGCCCAACAGATAAAATTCAAACATTAACAATAACATAAAAAGCCATTTATTACTCTGCCCCAAATTACATCACTAATCTTGTCTCCAAATATCACCCAAACCTTTTGCTCTCTAGCTCCCTTGTCTCCTCCTCCCATGCTCATCTCCAGAGCTCCAGAGCCCCCATCCTCTGGAACTCTCTACCCCAATTTATCAGGCTATCGCCTACTCTGCTCACTTTTAGGTGTTCTCTAAAAACCTATCTCTTCAGGGAAGCCTATCCTGCCCTCAGCTAAAAATGAAATTTTCTACTCCTCCTACCAGTCCATCCTCCACAGTCACTACCTTTTGTACCACTAGCCCCTCCCTCCTAGATTGTAAGCTCCAAAGAGCAGGGCCTCCTAACCCTCTTGTATTGAACTGGATTGTTGCTGTATTGTCTCCCTTTATTTTGTATAGCGCGAAGCAAACTGTTGGTGCTATATAAATCCTGTATTATAACAATAAATAATATACACGCATATATATATATTTCTACAAAAATCTAGTAAGGATGAGCATAATGCAAAAAGTGTGTATGTTGTGTCAGTAATTAACAATTTTTTTTCCCAAAAGCCTATCTGACAGCGTCATTCCACTCTTTTGCTAGTAGTTAGTACAGCCAGCCTTTTTTTACATGCACTGCTCCACAAAGCAGTGGTAATTTCACATTTGTTCATCAGTCTTTCTTCTTCTCATTAAATCAAATGCTGTGATAAACAAAATCCATCATAATGTTTTAAGCACACAATGAAATAAAAATTATAATAGAACATCACAAAATATAAGACTTTTAAAAAACAAAAAGAAACATTAAAATGCATGAAATAAACAAAAAAATGCAGTCTTCGTTTATTTCAAAATACCCACAAAGGTTAGTCTAGCAAACACACCATATTTAAGGTTAAAATACTAAATAACAATGAGATTTTAATTAAAGGCTATAATAAAAATGTATTTCTCAGATAAGATCCTTTTGAAGTATGTAAAAGGCCTTCATATTCACATATTCAAATGTGATATTTTCAACCAATAACATCAGAGTAAACAAAGTCCCTTCCCATCTTTGTGACCTTTGGACATTTCCAGATGGTGTTCTTATGATTACTCATCATCACTATGCAGTCATTATAATAACTAAAATGCAGGTGCTAACATTTGTGCAGTTTGTTTAGCCATCAATGTGATCCATATCTCAAACAATGTCAAAGTTATGTTTACAATGTAAAATGCACAGCATGTTTCAGCTCTGGAAGAACTAGTCAATCAAGAAACACTTATTTGGATATTCGCTATTTAACTATGCAATGCTGCAGCTAGAATTGATGAAAAAAAGTGTTACTGGCATCTGCCAATTTTCACTTCTAGACATGTGTGGCTTACTACTGTATGAGAGGAAAATGTACAGCGATCCCCAGCTACCAAATCATTTTTTTTTTATTTATTCGGATTTCAGTTGTTACAGATCACTACAGATCTTTGAAACGATGCTTTAGTAAATAATATGGGTTGGTATAGGCATGTATGGGAACTGTATGCTCCTGCCGTCCATTTATTTTGATACCTGTATATATGTCTGGTGGACTGTAACATTATTTTTGGAGGTGTCAGGCAGTATAATTTAAAGTGTATATTTGCCTTTAGTGCAGTTACACCTATTTTTTTTAAGCCCCTCATCTTCTTTTCTTGGCTGTGCAGCCCCTCAGAACCACAAAGTCTCCTTTCAGGATCCTCTCCATCAGGATTAAATGGGTATTGCCAAGGGCTTAAAAAAATTAGTAAATAACCACTTGCCCTCCTGAGGATTTACCCCCCTTCATGACCAGGCCATTTTTTGCGTTACAGTACTGCGTTACTTTGACAATTGAGTGGGTATGCAACGCTGCACCCAAATTGAATTTACATCCTTTTTCCCACAAATTGAGCTTGCTTTCGGTGGTATTTGATAACCCACGGTTTTTATTTTTTGCGAAAAGCAAAA